GCGTCCCAAACATCTTCATTATTATTTATGTTGGCTTATAGGCTATATATCCATGTTGTCCGAAATTCAAAAGTTAAGAAAAGAGATGGCAAAAGGTAATTTCCCCCAACGTAGCCCCGCCCCCCAGGTCCCCCTGGGAGGTCCCTGCAATCACTGGCTCCCTGTGCAGCCTGAGTTTGGGATTTCTGACTAGAGTTTCTCATCCACCCTGTTTTCCCTCTAGGAGAGGCTCCCATAGGAGGTGGGTGCAGGTCCCCACCTCCACTGAGGTTGGGGCCTGGACTAGGCAGACCATTTGCCTTGGGGACGTGCTGGTCTCCCTCCTGGGCATGAATTTGGCCCCAGCTTAATAGAATCCTGCTCAAGCCACTCAGGAAGGGTGGGGCCTGTTGCTTCTCCTTTTCAACTGCTTAAAGCATCCCCAGAAGCTCTGTACCCTCCACCCATGGGATCCAGGCACCTGACACCCTGAGCTGGGGCTCCCACAGTCTCCTTTTATCTCCTGGTGTAACTTAGACACTTTCCTCACCTTCCTCTTCCTTGACAGTTCAAATCTACACAGACTTGTGCCTGGCTGGCTCAGTTGGCAGAGCATGTGACTCTTGATCTGGGGGTTGTGAGTTCGAGTCCCACCTTGGGTGTAAAGCCTACTTAAAAAAAAATCCACACGGACTTGTCAGGCACCTACTATGTACCTGCCCTGGTCTGGAGACACAAAGTGAAGAGCTCACAGTCGGCTGTGGGAGGCCAGAAAGGACAGAGATCATTACAATTCAAGGTAGCCTGTGATATGTTCCATGGTAGTGGTGGGGGAAGTTAAAAATTCCACATTAAAGAGTCTGACAATACATAGTGCTGGTGAGGGTGTGGTTCAGCGGGCACAGTCCCAGTGGCTGGTGAGAGGGTGAGTTACAACAGCCACATTGGTGGGGCGCCTGGGTGGCTCAGACGGTTGAGCGTCCGACTTCGGCTCAGGTCATGATCTCACAGTTTGTGAGTTCGAGCCCCGCGTTGGGCTCTGTGCTGACAGCTCGGAGCCTGGAGCCTGCTTTGGATTCTGTGTCTCCCTCAATCTCTGCCCCTCCCCCGCTCACACTCAGTCTCTCTCTCTCAAAAATAAACATTAAAAAATATTAAAAAAAAAGAATTTGGCAATTCTAGGAAGGACATACCCTGTGACCCAGCAATTCCACTTTTCAAGTTCTCACTCTAAAGTAGAGTTTTTGAAAATTTTGACAGTATTCTCAGTAAGCATACACTGAGCCAGAACACAGAGACCACATGCTCAACTCTCTGTTAGTTACCTGCCGTGTGACGCACACTATTTTCTTTTTCCTGCTATGAATATATAGTTGCAGTTTAATGCACGTTGTTTTCTAATCAATTTTGAGTTTTATTTATTTGTTTATTTTATTACTAATTATTTTAAGTAGGCTCCACGTCCAACGTGGGGCTTGAACTCACGACCCTGAGATTAAGGGTTGTGTGCTCTACCGACTGAGCCAGCCAGCCAACCCCGATTTGGAGTTTTAAAAATGCTGACCTTGGGGCGCCTGGGTGGCACAGTCGGTTAAGCGTCCGACTTCAGCCAGGTCACGATCTCGCGGTCCGTGAGTTCGAGCCCCGCGTCGGGCTCTGGGCTGATGGCTCAGAGCCTGGAGCCTGTTTCCGATTCTGTGTCTCCCTCTCTCTCTGCCCCTCGCCCGTTCATGCTCTGTCTCTCTCTGTCCCAAAAATAAATAAACGTTGGAAAAAAATAAAAATGCTGACCTTCAGCCACGAAATTGATCTGACCCGTTAGTAGGTCTCAAGCCATAGTCTGAACAATGCTCTCACGTGTATGCACAGAAGAAGGCTTAGTGCAACATTGTTGTCATAACAAAAACTCAAGTGGGGCTTTCATGATCCACGAGCAAATGGATAAACAAATTGTGACATGGTCAGAAAGTATCACACTGTCACACCACAGCTACATGTATCAAAAGATAGACACAGGGTGAAACCATCTATATAAAACATAAAACCCTACAGAGTGATGGCATATTATTTTATGATTATGATATACCCACATTATTTACGAATACATCCTTATGTAGCATAAGAACTGCACAAAGTGATACCCACATCAGGATAGTGGTTATCTCTGGTGGGAGAGGGAGGGGAAATGGAGTTGGGGTGGGGGGAACATAAGGAACTTCAATTTTTCAGGTTCAGTTCTTTAAAAAATATATTGGAACCCAAATTTGCCAAATATTAACATTTGATAAAGCTGAAGGAAAGATACCGACCCTCACTCTGTTTTTAATATTTTATTTAATATTATTGTTTCTTAAAATATTCTGTGGTAATACTTATAGGACATCAGGAAAGGAATTTTATTCTGACTGTGGGAATAGAGAGAGGGAGTGTAGAGGGAAGCGCATGAGCCCAGGCGCAGGGGTAGGAGTGGATGAGGTCCTGGGTAATGAGAATGAACACCTAGTCCTTCCTAACTGGGGACCCTGTGCTGATGGATGGCTTTATCCAACTTCCCTCACGTGTCGGCACCACACTCTTCCCATTTAACAGATGAGGAAACAGAGGCCTTCCTATTGAACAGATGGAAACAGAAGCTGGGATTCGAACTCAGGCCTGTGAATCAGAGCCTGTGCTCTTGAGCAGTCTGCACCATGGTTCCTCCTTGAGGAGCCATCTTTGTGTCTGCCCAGGGGGCAGGGGTGGGGAGGGGTGGAGACAGACAGGGTCTGGTGTGCTGAGCTAAGATGTGTAGGCATTATTCCGTCAGGGATGAGGAGATTCAGGAGGATTTCAAGCAGGGGAGCAGCAGAGTGAACTCACTGCAGCTGTAGCATCTGTTCTTAAAAAAAAAACCTTTTGGGGGGATGCCTGGGCAGCTCAGTCGGTTAAGGGTGGGACTCTTGATTTCTGCTCAGATCATGATCCCAGGGTCTCAGGATCAAGGCCCGCATTGGTTCCAGCATCTGTGGGCTCTGTCAGTGGAGGCCTGACTTCTGGAAGCAAGAAGAGCTGTTCCAGCAGGGCTCGCTCCAGGGATGGACATCTCCAGCTCCAGTGCTGTGTGGGGGTACTGGAGAGACTACTGGGCTGCCAGTCAGGGGCTGGGCTTCTGGCTCCAGCTGCCATGAATATACGTGTGTGACCTTGAGGTTTGGTGCTCCTTCTCTGGGCTTTTGTCATCTCTTTTTGGCAGAGAAGTCTGGATGAGGTTTTTCCAAACTGCAGTTAAATGTTTGGTTACATCAAAAAAAGCAATTAAATGGGTCACAATCAGTATTGAAAAACAAAACAAAATACAGAAATAGAACAGAAAATATCAGAGTGCATCACAGGTCACAAGGGTAAGTATTGTTTTGTGAAACTATTGTTTCACTTACATATAGGGGGTAAGGGGGTGGACTGCTCTGATGTAAAATGTATTTATTACTATGGGTCCTGATAAGAAACTAAAACACTGAACTCAGCAATCCTGGAGGTATTCCCCCCCCACCCCCCAATTCTAGGGGTCTTTGTGAAAAAGCCACACACCCAGGACTCTTCTCTTCATTCCCCTGGGTCAGCAGCTGTCTCTTTGCTCTTAGCTGCCTCCACCCCTCCCTGGGTCTCTCTTCTTCCTGCTTCAATCCAGTCCCCTCCTCCCTTTCTCCCAGGGACAAGCCCCCCTTCACCCCCCTTCCCAGGAAGTCCGGGTGGGGATTTCAGAAGAATAAATGTGATCCAATGGGGGTGGCTGTGGGCACTCTGTGCCAGGAGTTAAGATAAAAGGACTAAGAAGCAAACACCCAAGCACCCAGGAACAGAACAGAAAGTAGGCGAGCTGGGGACGTGGGTTTGAGGGCAGGACTTCGTGAGCAAGAGCTCGGCGGCGACACCGCAGCGGGTCACTCCCAGAGGGCCAGCACCGGCCTTGTCATTGTTGGCACTCGGTGCGCTATTAGCGAGAGAAGGTAGCTTTCTCTTTCGCCATTTCCCCACCCCCCTTTAAAAAGAAAGACAGAAGGAGCCAAGAGTTTGGGAGCCAACTCCTGGAGAGGGAGCGGCCGAACTGATTCGGAAGTTGGATCTCTTTGTACACAGGAATGTGGAGAGAAAAAAACAAAACCCACCCCATTGCTTCATTTCCCCTCCAAGCCCAAGCACTTTCTATTGTGCAATGAAAAGGCTTTTCACGTTGAGAAAAATGAATCCCGATTTGCGCTGCAAAGGAATGAGCGCGCCTCTCGGTGCGAGACGGCTCTCAGCTGGGACGCTCCCGGGTCCTCTGCGCGCGGTTCAAGGTAGCGCCCGCAGGGGCGCTGGACCCCCTTCCGCCGGCGCCCGCACTGGCTCTCACCGACCCGAGGGCAGAGGAGTAGAGAGCCCGGGGAACCCCAAGGGGAGAGAGCCCCCATACGGCTGGGCCTCCCAGGGATGGCGGTTCCGCGAGTCTGTCTAGGGAGTCGCTGGAGCTGGAACTCCGAACCCGGGAGCCAGCGGGAGCTCCAGGACTCCTCGGAGTAGCGCAGGGCAGGCGGCTGGTTCGGCGCCCGGGAGGCCTGGCCCCGGACGCGCGAGGGGCGCAGGGCGCGGGGAGGCGGGCAGGCGCACATGGGTGCAGACGGGCCGGCGGCGGTGGGGTGCGGGGGGGGGGGCCGGGGTGTGGCTTCCCCGCCTCCCGGGCGGGATTTGCATGTGTGTGTGGCGGCCCCAGACTTCCTGCTCCTTCTACACTGCAGGTACGCGCGGGCCGGGCCGGGCGGGCGGGCGGCGGGCGCGCCGAGACGCGGGCACCTCCTCACCCGGACGCCACCAGCGGCTCCCGGGCCGCGCCGCGCCGCCTTCCGCTCCGGTGGCCGCTAGCCCGCCCTGGCCGCGCCGAGCGCCCTGCTCGCGGGTGGGGGCGCGCCCCTCCGGCCTCCACGGTCACCTCCGTCCCCTGCACCGAGCCTGGCCTCGCGCCCCTTGGCGCTCCCACCGCCCCGGGTCCCCGGAGGGCCGCAGCCATGAGCGAGATGTCCAGCTTTCTCCACATCGGGGACATCGTCTCCCTGTACGCCGAGGGCTCCGTCAATGGCTTCATCAGCACTTTGGGGTGAGTGAGCCGAGTTCGAGGGGGGCGCGGGCAGGGAAGGGGCGCCGTAGGCCCTGGTACCAGTTGCGTCCTGCCGCCGCCCCCCGACAGAGGACCTGGAAGTCCCCAGCTTCAAGGAGCGGGGTAACGGCTCGCCTCCTTCTTTTAGAGAAAGGAAGTGAAATGTTTGCCCAGGTAGAAGTCGGGCACGCTGCGGGAGTTGGTAGGAGGCGCCCCTTAGGCGAAGCCTCCACCCTCGCGCGCTCGACTTTCTTCGGAGCGGGAGGAGAGGTTGAGACTTCCTCTGCAGGTGGTCCCGGGGCGGGGCAGGTGGGTGGCTGGGGCCTGAGTTGGGGAAGGCATCCGGGCCTGGACGTGACTGGCTGGGGGGGAGGGGCGGAGCTGTGGGGGAAGGCAGAGGCAGCTTGGAGCCCGAAATCCTCTTGTTAGGGTCCAGTCGCACCTTTGAAGGGTCGCATCTTTTCCTTCTAGCTCTGTCCTCCCCTGCCCCCCTTAAGTAGGAGTGCCTTCTCAGCCCTCCCCTACCAAGAATCCTAGGTCCTGGCCCTTCTCCGGCCTCCTGGTCACCATCATGCTGGCTCATCTGGCGTCCCTTGGTCCCCGGTCCCAGGATCTCCCGAGCTCTCTACAAACATTAATTAATTCTGGCCATCACCCCCCAGGGTCTGGATAAGCAGGGAATCTATTCAAGTCCCTGGAGAGGCCTAGGCCTGAAGCAGGCATAGGGCAGGAAAGGAATTAGGCAGAGCCAATAGGTTTATCTTCAAAGGAGTAGTTGGGTGAGTCGCAGGGGCGGTGGGGGGGGGGCAGGGGGCGAGTGAGGAGGTAGAGTGGTTTCTCCACCTCTCCAGCCAGGCTCCAGGGCAGGTCTTGCTCCCTTTGTCCCATGTTCAGTCTGGGGACTTGTGTTAAGTTGGCTCATCTTCCTACTGCCCCAGCCCCCCGGCTGCCTTTAGGATAAACGCACCCTCCTCTGCTCTCCCTACACATCAGGACACCCGCCAGCCAGCCACAAGGTGCCTCCTCTCTGGGGGTTTTGGAGGACAGCCCTGGAGCCCTCAACCCAGGTCTGGCTCTGGACCTGGCCTGGCTCACCGCTAAGGCTGGGAAGTGGGAGTCACCTGGTTCTCTTGATGTCTCCCAGGGTATTTGGGAGTTTGGCTTTAGTCCTGTAGGAAGGGGAATCCAACAGGACTGGGGCTTGGAGGGCTGGCTCTGCCAGCAGAGGATTCTGACTGGGAACTCCAGCATACCTGCTCTCCTTATCCTTCTTGGTGCCTCTCTCGTTCCCCTCCCCGTTCAGATGTGGAATCCCCAGCCACATGTCCTCGCCCTCACTAGATTTGACTTCTCTTGCTCCTTTCCCCAGAGGATGGGGGTGGAACCACATCTGGGCCAGCATCTGTGCAGGCCTCCCCCAGGGAGCACGGGCCGGGGGACCCCTTGCTGCTGCTCTGGCCAGGGCTGCTGTTTGAAACTACTAGCCTGCACATAGTGTGCACACAGTAAACACCTCCCATAATGCTGAGGGAAGGAGGAGAGAATGTGGGGGAATTGGGGGCAGACGGAAGCCCCCCACCTTGTGTCTGAACAGCACTGGGAGCTTTTGGCAAATGATCATCTCCACTGTTGCTTAGTGCCTGGTTCAGGGCTGAGCACAAAGTGGGTGGGGTTTAAAAAAATTTTTTTTAACATTTATTTATTTTTGAGAGACAGAGAGAGATAGAGCACAAGCAGGGGAGGAGCAGACAGAGAGAGAGAGACACAGAATCCAAAGCAGGCTCCAGGCTCTGAGCTGTCAGCACAGAGCTGGATGCGGGGCTTGAACTCATGGACTGCGATATCATGACCTGAGCTGAAGTCAGCCACCTAACCAACTGTGCCACCAAGGCACCCCCCCTTTTTTTTTTTTTTAATAAATGTTTATTTATTTATTTTGAGAGAGAGAGTGCAAAGGCAGAGAGAAGGGGAGAGAGGGAGAGGATCCCAAGCAGGCTCCAAGCTGTCAGCACAGAGCCTGACCCAGGGCTTTGATCCCACAAACTGTGAGATCCTGACCTGAGCTGAAATCAGGAGTCGGATGCTTAACCGACTGGGCCACCCAGGCACCCCCGAAGTGAGTGGTTTTTAAGTATCTATGAGATCTGTCAGAATCAGGGGAAGGATCTTCTGCCCTCCACACAGCCCTCATCCCCTCAAAACAGATCTGTCACCTCCCAACACAGCTCCCTCCTGCCTTGGCCCTTCCTGCCCCCAGGAGCGCTTCCTCCAGTCCATTTTGACCCTGGGGCAGGACCTGGTGACCTCCGATAGCACTTCTACTCCAGGGTGCCTGTTCCCTATGCAAACACCTCCAACAGCTCCTGACTTTCCACCGATGGATGCCCCCCTCCCAGCTTGGCATTCTGGCACCCTCACTTAATTTACTATTTTTTTCCCCCATTCACACCCTCTGAAGTTCTAGGTGCACGATACTACCCTGATTCCTGGAACCTACCCCACGGTCTAGGTCTCTTTACCTTTGCTCCTGGGTTGCCCCCGCCCTTCAGCCAGTCTCCACCTGGGTAAATCTGACCCACCCTTAAGACCTCATGCGAAGTGACCTTTTTTGAGAGATCCAGCTCCTCCTCCCCCAGCCTGGCAGAATTAACCCTTCTTTCTCTGTGCTTTGCACTGCTTAGCACAAACTCCTCTCTGGGATTGTGTTGCTTCACGATTAGTTGGGGATTTTTCTGTAGGGCCATCTAATGCTGGGCAATTTGCCAGGATTAACTAATTCATTACACCATTCATCCGCTCAGGCTGTCTGCAGGCACCGTACTGGGCACGGGGGGCCTCTGTGGCGAAAGAGGGAGCCTTGTGTCTCACCTTCTTGGAACTCAGTCAATGAGAGAATGATTTCTAAGCACTGCTAAGTCCTCCCTACTCAAAGTATAGTCCTTGGTACAGCAGCAGGAGCGTCGCCTAGAAGCTTGCTACAAGTACAGAATCTCTGACCTCTGCCTGTCCCTCGGAATCTGCCTGCTGATCCCCATGGGATTTGGTGCCTTAAAGTGTGAGCTGCACTGCTTTAAGTCATTCTCTCTCTGCCCCATCCTCGCCAGAATCTTTCTGGTGGCCCCAGAAAGGGGCCCCTTGGCTTTCACCCTGGCTGTGGGTGCCCATGTCTGTGATTTGAGTGAGTTCCCAGGCTAGTCCAATGTTTGATATCCAGGAGGTGCCCAGTAAGGGCTGGATGAAATGAATTTGTTGAAGACAGGGGCCCCCTTGGTGGGCAGAGGAGCTGGTCAGCTGGGAGATTGGGGGGGGGGGGCGGCATGGGTGGAGGAGGGAGTCCGGGGCAGCCTTCAGTTTCTGGCCAGGCACTACAGGGCAAAGTGGAGGAAGCTAATTAGAGCTGCCTGAATAATTAGAGCTCCTGGTGAAGATTGTACATTAACTCCAGGTTGAGAGGATGGGAGGGGTCTGGGCAGCAGATCCTGGAGCAGGTCGGGACCTTGGCAGGGAAGGGAAAGCAGGCCCATGCCTGTTCTTGGCAAGAGAGTGTGGCCAGGACCACTGCCTTGCACCTCACCCTGGGTGGAAGGCAGCAGAGGCCAGGACTGGAGCGACTGATCAGGGCCAGTGAAAGGTGGAGGATTTAATGCGACTCCTGGCCAGTTGCTGTGGGGAACTGGCCCTGAGTGTGCAGGGTGGGCCCCTCAGAGTCTGACATCCAGTTCCTTGCAGGTCTCTCTGAGTGGCCAGAGGGGTGGGCCTTGGCCCACAAGGAGTAAGTTGGGGAGTGCAGGTGAACTGGGTCTTGAAACTGAGCTCCCAACGTTTGTCAAAGTGCCTTCCTTGCTTGGAGTTCCATTTGGGGGCTTTCAGGGCCTCCGAACCTGTATTGCCTGGGGCTGGGTGATCACAGGGAATAGGGTCAAAAGACGCCCCCCTTGGGGTTCTCTGTCCACCTTCCAGCCTGATTCACTTCCCCAGAAGGGTGGGCACTGGAGGTCAGCACCCAGAAAACATGGAGGTAAATATGGAGGAAGCCCCAGGTCCCCAGGGTCAGGACCCTTACATCAGTAGTCCCAGGGGCAGGGTTCTCCTGCTTTGTCACTAACTCTCTGGTTGATTTTGGCAAGACTCTGCCTTCTCAGAGTGTGTTTCCTTCAGCCTGATGTTCTCTAAGGTGCTCTGCACCTGAGAATCCCCTGGTATCTTTAATTGTTTTTTTCTTTACATCTTATTTATTTTTGAGACAGAGAGAGAGAGAGCACAAATGGGGGACGGGCAGAGAGAGAGAGGGAGACACAGAATCTGAAGCAGGCTCCAGACTCCGAGCTGTCAGCACAGAGCCGATGCGGGGCTCAAACCCATGAACCGTGAGATCATGACCTGAGCCGAAGTCAGTTGCTTAACTAACTGAGCCACTCAGACACCTCTCCCCTGGGATC